CACACACACACACACACACACACACACACACACACACACACACACACCCTCCCTCTCTCTCAGTCACTCAGTCAGTTGCAACAACACGCTCACCGGGGTCGGCAGCACAAAGCAGAGTCGCTCCCTTACCAGTCTGCACACTCACACACTCTCACTTACACACACACACACACACACACACACACACACACACACGCTCGCTCAGACTCGACACACGCCTCCTCAGCAACACCGGGGAGCTGAAGCAAAACTGACGAGAATAAGGAAGGAAGGAAGGAGGAGAGAAAATAAAGACACATTGTGGGAAAACATCCATCAGGTAAGACGTCTTTTATCAATCTCTACTATTCACTCACTGCTTATCTTCTACTACAATGTGCATGCGTCAGGTAGAAAACAGTGTAAAGTCCCTCTTCATGCTGAGCAGGGTGACCGAGTTAACCTCATCTGCCCTCACTCTCTGCAAGCTTCCGTCGTCTCTTCTCTCTGTAATATCACATGTCGTTGGAGGCTTATATGTTCCACCTGACCTCGGTATAGAGTTCAGTATAGAAGAAGAAGAAGAGTCGCTCGTGGTGCTTTAAAGTCACAAATGCTGTGACATGTGAGGAAAGAATGGGGAAAATGTTGAGGTTCATTCATCTGTGCAGATGAAGTTTCCTTTTTTTTGTGCGAGTGCGTCCAAGTGTGCGCTGCATGGGTTCGCATGGGATCAGAGAGACCGAGTGAGACACGAGGGAAGTGAAAGCAGAAGTAAAATGCTGGAGGAGGAAGTTTTTAAATCTAACAAAAGAGTGTCTCAAAGAACACTTTCGTGGAGTCGTGGGGGTCCTGCTCATCGTTGTGGATGACTTGTGCTTGCTGAGGTTTAATGCTAACAAAAGCACTCGTTCCTTTACTTTTGGTGACGACAGGAATCAGAATAAATTACCGTTGCACCTTATAAAAACACCAGTTTTAAAAAAGAAGGCAAAAGATTGGTTTATATGGAAGTGAAAACATATTTTTCTTATAGTTTGATGAATAATCTTATGATTTGCTGTTTGGCTATAAGTGCCTTTATTGATACTTTACAGTATAAACTTATTGTAAAAACACCTTCTATGACACCCATGTCTATGATGCATTATGAACACTTATAATGCATTATTGTCTGCTTATAGCGCTGGTTTATTATTATTACTCATGAATATGCATAATGCTTTCTAACAATAATCATAACACACTACATTATACCATCATAATACTTCATAACTGCTGGCCAATCATTGACATGTTTAGATCTATAGTGTAATAATGTTTAAAGTGTTATAATTCCAATATTTGTAACAAATTATAATCTTTTTATACTGCATTATAGTCCATGTTACTGTTATTGTTACTCCAAGTCATTTTAAATGAAAAAAGTATCATTGAATCTATGCTAGATTTACTTAAAGCAAACAACAATGTGTTATGATAACTGTTGTAAGCATTATGCATATGTATGCGATTATAAAAGTATGTTGTATAATCCATGGGCATCATAGAACGAGTCACCAATTTATTTTATTTTATTGGTAGTATGATGTCTGTACATCAAAAACCAAGACTGTCCTCCCCATAAAAAATGACCAGTTGTGTTATCTTAATATCTTAACGGAGCTCTGAGCTCTACTGGCTGCAGTGATTGTAACTCTTGTCTATCAGCAAAGGAAGAAGTAGAGTGAGGATAGGTGCCACAATGTCCACAGAGGGAGGTCGAGCTGGTCGAGCGGGTCAACAAAACGTTAGACTGCAACGTTGGAGACATCAGTTTGTTTCCTCTTTCGAGCCAACGTTGGTTCTCTTATCATGTGGTTATTATTGTGACCATGACACTGAATATCTGAGCACATGAACAAAGTCCTCATTCCAACCCAAACCAGGATGTGTTCTTTAATCTTAACCAAGTTGTGTTCATGCCCACATCTAACCAAACCTCCACCTTGGCGTCCTCACATCATAAAGATGATCCAACAGTGATTTGTGATGGTTGTAGAAGGCGATGATAAATAATGTCCCCCTGGTTATAGTGGCTTCAGATCAGAAAATGGGGGGGTGGGGGCAACAACATATTTAGTCGTTTCATTTGAAGGACTTTTTGCAAAGACTGGATTTTGTGGTGTTATCTTTGACATTTTGTTTCATTTAATGTCCAAAAATATCAAACTAAGCTCACATGTCTAGAGCTTGATTTTGGCCAAACTTTGCACACATGACAGCTAAAAGGAGGCAGTAATTCACCACCAGCACCACTCATGACACTCCCACACGAGTCTGTACCATGAAGAAGACACTAGCTGCTCTGGAGCGTCTGAAGAGCTTAAACAGACTGTAGGAAAGACAACTGGAGCTGATCCAGGGTCAGAGAGGCTGCGACGGGGCAGACTTGTTTTTGTGTTTTTGACCTTCGCTGTGTTTATAAATATGAGCAGAGGAGGAGGAGGAGGACAGAGAGGGAGCAGAGATGAATGGAGTCATTGTCTGGGCTGTGTGTGTGCTGAGTGAGGGGGGGGGGGGGGGGGTTCGTGTGTCTCAAAACAAACTGCAGTCAGTGTCATGTGAGAGGTTAATGTTACACCAAGATGTGGGGCGTCTGGTAAACAAAGAGATCCCGTTAAATAACCGTTTCATCTTTTAATAAGTATTCTGAAAGCTAACCCACTGAAGGTTGAATCCTTAAGGCTGCATGAATCAACATTTTAGGCCACTTGGAGGCAGCAAAAACACGTTGTGAACTCAACATTGACACATCATCACCTTCTAAGTTATTATGGTTCACTTGTTTCAAACCGTTGTTCGTTTACACATCTAAAATTCAGCTTTGTGGGGATTCTGGCTACGTTAAAAGGCCGTTACACACCGATGAATAAAGGACACAGAAACGTAAAAATACTTGTCTGTGAATATTTTACATCAGAACTATTTATACCTGCATCAATAGATTCCTGCAGGCAGAGGACTAACTACAGGGATCCTATTGACCCAGAGCAGTCCGTTGTTAAGCTTAAACTACCATCAGCTAGTTTCCTTTTAGCGAAATGCTGTGAGTGAATTTGAGGTTATGCGATGTATGGGGCTTTTATTGTGAAAGGTGAGAACAGAAGGAGCGGATATGGTCTGCGTGGCCTTTGTCAAGGTTACAATAAAGTTTGCAGTCTCAGTTCAGACTGCTACCGTTGCTCACTATAGTGTACATTATAAAAATGTCCGTTCCACACACACACACACACAACGTGATTGGCGGATACCTTCATTCGCCGTGTGGATGCTACCAACAGTGGAAGGGTACATACTGCGCCGACCAAGCGGCGATATCCGACGAGTTGGCAGTGAGAATGTGTTGGTGTGAAAGTACTCCTGACCAAAACAATTGAAAAAAATATATTGAATCGCATTAAAAAAAGAAAGCTGCCCGTGAGTAAAGGCCTTAAGAAATGTCAGTCCAATATTCACTCTTCTTCTTTTACACACAGGCAGTCCTTTAAATCAATTTACAAAGACTTTTAGACTGAAAATTCTTTTTTTTCCACACCCAAAAAAGTGATGTAATGGTCAAACCAAATAGACATCACTGTTGGGTGTGGCAACACAACTGTAATAAACTTAAACTTTTACTTGTTTTCAAATTATTCCAATGAAAGAAATTCAAGAAACAGCCTTTTAAGTGTCTCTTGAGAGAAAACCTAACAAAATGTCTCATACATGCATTTATTACTTACAACAAATACAAATTGTGAACTTGAGTTATATCACACTTTAGAAGAGTTAAAGTGCACCACAAAGACCAAAACAGAAGAGGATCACAAACCAACGGAGCAATTAAAACCACAGACGGTAAACAAGCGAATCAATAACAAAGTGATTAGAACATAAAACACTGTCGATAAAATGCAGACAAGCAAAGCCGCGGCGATAAAACAATTCACCTTAAACAGATTCCAATGCTTTTCATGGTCTTTTTCTCCAAACTGTTTCCTATTTACCTCAGAATTCAATCAGTTTAATTTCCCCCAAAAAAACTGATTAAGATTATGCACTTAGGAGGCTTCGCTGCCGGAGCGTCACAGCTTCAAATCCTTGTTTAGACACAATCCTAATTGTGCAGAAAGCTGGCACCCCGGGGCCACACGGAGGGGAGGAACAGTAGGGTTTTCAGAAAAAGACAGTGGGGAGGAGCGGCACATGGAGACGTTGAGGGTGAAGAATTAGGGACAAATTGGGCAAAGTTCGATGGAAACGTGGCGAGACGGAGCGAGCGAGGGCAATTTGGATCAGAAGCTAAATGGATTCATTTTGGAGAAAATTAGGAAGATGGGACGATTTGAGAGGGAGATAAGAGGCTGAGAGCTACATTGACAAAGACATTGTGTCAAACCTAGGGGTGGAGATTTGACGTGTGTGTGTGTGTGTGTGTGTGTGTGTGAAGGGGTCTCTGCCACCTTGGTAGCAGAGTACATTATGGCTGTTTGGGCACATTAAGGGGCATTAGCTGAAGGAGCTTCCCTGAATAATGCATGGCCTTTATTTATGAGCAGAGTGCATACGTCCTCTGAAGCGTACTGAACCGGGGTGTACACACACGCACACTCAGACACGTGCACACGAATCCTCCTTTTCAGTCACATATACACGCTTTCAAAATCACAAATTTGGCAAACTGGCAATGTACGTATGCATTTATTTGTGTGAGAAAGCATGACTGTGTGTGTGTGTGTGTGTGTGTGTGTGTGTGTGTGTGTGTGTGTGAGAGAAGCTGAGTGTGTGACTAACAATACCTTTAATAAATCGCCAAATTCCTACATGCCAACCTAAAAATGAAGTACATGGTTGTGTGCGTGGCCGCTGAACGGTCCTCCGGTCTAACAGAGCAGCCAATGAGCCTAGTCTCACACACTAACACACACACAGTGCACTTACACTTACATTCAGATGACTTCCGACAATCAAAAACTTTTAAGTGACATTTTTACGATTGGCTCTCCTCAGAGTTGTTTTCACGGCGTGCTGAATTTTCCAGCAGTTTTGTTCCAAAGTGAGAAATCATTTTGACGTCTATACTCTCACGGAAATGACCGCAGGCATGAACGGGAGAGTCACGTCATCAGCAGGGGATCTGTGACTTCCCATCAACTCTCATGACATTGATCCACAGAAATCAAGTGCAGCTTCAGTGAGACCTTGAGAAGATGGTTTCGATCTTCTGCAGGTTGATTTTCATATTGTACCTGCACCTGAACTGAAACAAGGGAATCAAGTTTTAGATAATAAACATAAACATAAAAAAACCCTCAGTGT